TCCACAGTATCAAAAGCCGCTGAGAGGTCCAAAAGAACAAGGACAGAGGAACAACCCCTGTCCCGGGCCCTCCAGAGATCATTAACCAACGTGACCAATGCCGTTTCCGTGCTGTACCCCGGCCTGAAGCCCGACTGGAGAGGGTCCAGATAGACCGTTTCCTCCAGGTGCCGGGGAAACTGCCGTGCAACCACACTCTTGAACTCCTAAACACAGCAGTCTCCTACTGTGGCAGCTTGGCGGCCCGATGGGGGGGGAAGAGGAACCAGACCACATGAGCAGCAGACTGGCGCACACCCACACGCATGAAGTTCATCTTACTCAAGTGATGGGCCGGGGCACACGCACAGCTCGACTGCAAGTCGAGCTACACACACGCTGTGCATCAGCCTGTAGACCTATTGCAAATAGCCACAGCCTGGTAACGGGCCCCGGGGTTGGGGACCCCTGTCCTCAGTTTGCAACATTTGCAAGTATTCAGTAAGATGGTCTAGCTCTAGCCAACCTTTTCTATACCCCGTACCCCTAGAACGCTTCTGATATATTCTTGCACCCCTTACAAAAGTTTGAAATAATGGCAACAAATTATGCATATACACTATAATTTTGAAAAGCCAAGTTTTCACGCCCTCTGGAATATCGTCTGGCACCTCCAGTGGGTGCGAGCACCCCTGGTTGGGAACCCCTGGCCTAGAAACTGGATATTTTTAAACAGATTAACAGGATCCTTGGGAAGTAAGACTTTGATTCTTAGTCTAAACCAGTGGTTCTCAACCTTTTTAATGCCGCGACCCCAACCGGTTGTAAGTCGAGGACTAAACCTGTCGTAAGTCGAGGACTAAACCGGTCGTAAGTTGAGGACTACCCAACCGGTCGTAAGTCGAGGACTTTCCCTGCCTGGGAGCGCTGCGCATGCGTGGTTCCGCCCCCTGCGCCGGCCGAGGCGTAGCTGGCAAGCGGCAGAGACGGAGCAGGCCGACCACCAGCTGGCCCAGCCCAAGGGAGGTAAGGCACCCGCCGGAAAAGGGGGAAAAAATGGCGGACAAAAAAAATGGCGGACAGCCTTGCTTGGCGACCCCCATGAAATGGTCGATCGACCCCAAATGG